TCACGAATTTTAGACAACGAGGTCTGTAACTTTTCTGACTGAAATGTCACAGAGAATTTATTGAAAAGAAATGAACGATATTATATATATATATATATATATATATATATATATATATATATATATATATATATATATATTAGTAGAAGTAGTAGCAATCTTATAAGTATAAGGCATTATACTCGTCCGGAATACCTTCGGTGTCTTGATTTGCGAATAATCAAACCAATACCAAAAGGTATAAAAAAAGAACCAAGAACATGTACGTTAGCTGAAAATAATCGTCTAGCATGCAAGTCCAAAGCCCAAAGAAAAAAACCGATACGACTACGCAAAATAACTAACTAAATGAATAAATAGAGCCAGCCTTCCCTGACGATCCGCTAAGGTAAAACCGTGGTAGGTTGTCTTGCTCTCTAGGTTTAACTATATATATATATATATATATATTTAAAGACATTTTTATGTTTAACATTCTTTTTATAGATACAAGTATTCAAGTAAATGCTCTGTTTATAATAAACAGTATTAAATAACATTTACCGGCCTGAATGTCCGAAAAATTTTCATAGAAAATATTCGTCCTTCGACAGAATTCGAACCTGTATCCTCTACGGAACCGTCATATAGCCTAACTGGCCTTCCCTCTCGGCCACAAAGGATCGTTCGGTTGGCAATATAATTATTTATTCGAAAATTATAACATAAGTATGCTTAGAAAATCGCCATGTTATCGATACCAGTAACTCAATATATGGTAATTTTGATTTTGTGCTTGAGTAAGTTTAGTAAGCGACATCATTCCCCACTAGGGGTCTGTTTCATAAGTTGTTAAATTCAGTGCCCCTACCAATATGGCAAGAATGTGTCAAAAATCAACATCAACGGAATCCATTCTTTTTCTTCTATGTGCGTATCCCTTCAAGGCGTTGGTGATCATGGCTCTCCATAATTTCCTGTTCCTTGTAGCTCTCAATAAATTTGGTCTTTTTAATATCTCTCTTAATCCCTGTTCTGTCATGCATTTGCTCAAGCTCTCTAGATAGGTTATGCATTGCTTTCCTCTCCTCCTTTTGTCTTCAATCTTTCCTGTAAGTAATTAAGTAACGCGTAACTTGTGTCACAATGAGTTGAATAACTCAGTGTCCTTAGCCCAATTCACAAAACTGCTTATGTCATTTCCAGTAGGTCAAAATGATTTCTTTTGGAGGCTGTCTATATTTCTGAGATGTGATACTATGTACACTATTTACATTATTCGGACTATTGTCCTCATCTTTGTCGCCATATTTATCACAACGTTTCGGCCGTTGTACGCTCCGGCCTTCTTCAGGTGGTTGGAATTTCGAACTGAACCCTTTATTTCGCTCACTGGGGTAGACTGTTCTAGTTCCACGTGTCATGTTATCAGTTATCTCCTGCTAATTTCCCACCACTGCCTTAACCGGGTATTGAACTCACACACTTTGGGTTCTGTCACTGGATCTAACCAACGCCTTTATCCACTATGCCATGTGTCCTTGAGGACATCTGGGTATGAATTTCGGGGTATTATAAACCTAATGTCTTCAGCAACGATTTTTACCAGTGCTCATATTACAATTTTTTGCTGTTATCATTTCATGTTTTTACCAGTGCTCATATTGTAACTTTGTTGTTATCATTGCTTTTCTCTGGCACTCCTTATTAGTGGTTCCCATATGGTATTCATTTCTATGCTTGGTCGGCTCACGAGATTTTTGTAGCCTAGCATATGTGCTGATTCCTTAAGTTTACGAATTTTCCAATGGTGTTCCTTGTCTATGATCTCAACATGATCCCACAGAGGGCGGTGATTTCCCTTCTCTCTCCATATATGGTCAGCCACGCCTGATTTATCTACTTCCCCTCGTGTTACAGCATTCTGGTGTTCTTGAAGCCTTACCTGTCACTCCTTTATATTCCTTTCCACAGCTGCACGGGATAGCGTACACACAGTCTTTAGGCATGTTCTCCTCTATGAGGGGGTCTTAATCGGGAAAGATATCTGCGAAGTGTCGTCAAGCTTTTGAAGGTTGTCCTGATGTTATAAATAAAGGGTTCAGTTCGAAATTCCCACCACTCGAAGAAGACCGGAGCGTACAACGTACAACTGCCGAAACGTTGTGATAAATATGGCGACAAAGATGAGGACAATAGTCCGACTAATGTAAATACTGTACATAATACCTCATCTCAGAAATATAGACAGACTATGAGGACAATAGTCCGAATAATGTAAATAATGGTTTCTTTTGTTGACCAAAAATGGCAAATAGCATTTTCAAATCAAACAGTAATTAATCCAAACAACTATTACGGGGAACGAACCCTGAAAATATCAAATCCGGATTTTCAAACCTCCTCCTTCTATTTAAAGTCAATTAGGTTGGTTTTCTTCCACGACAAACGATTTTTGGAAACCAAAAAGCAAAAAAAAACAAAAAAAAAAAAAACAAATAGAATTGTATGTCATTGTGATTCATATTACCTAATTATAAACAAGATTGTGAATTTGAATCAATCCACAACAAAGAAAAAGGCGACGGTGTTTTATTCTTAAATAAAAGAATATAAAATATTTTTTATTTTCGTGTTTTTACAATTAGATTTTATTCAGCGTGAACGTGTGTTAAAGTTCCTTGTTCGTCTTTGTTGAGATGAAAATAAATGTGGTTTTCCCGCGGGTATGTGGGAAAAAAGAGGCCAAGGAGAAAGTGAGGAATAAAGTGTATCACATATCTTGCTAAGAAGAAAGACGGGAGAATGAGTAAGAAAATTTATTTGAAGCCGTGCGCATCATGAGCAGTTGTCATGTGTTGTCGCTTCTTCTCTTTAATGACTTGTCCGTCTAGAGCGGTGATTCGCAACCGCCGTGCCTCGGCACACTAGTGTGCTGCGCGATCTTCAACTTCTTAAGTTTGCCGTGAAATATTGTCACGGCATATATATATATATATATATATATATATATATATATATATATATATATATATATATATATACTAATTTAAAAGATTGTTTCATAGCGATGTAAATTAGTAAATTTATGATCAGTAGACTTGTATTAAGCACTGTTTTGTGAAAATAAAAATATTAATAAGAACACCGGTTTATATATCTTACTTTTTAATAAATCTATTAACAAAACATGTTTTATGCAAATTAGGGAAAGAAATGAACTTCATCATTGAAGTTATCCATAGTTCAAAACTATTTTCAACTGATTATCTCTGAAGCACTTAAACGCCGTGTGTTTTGATGGGGAAAACAGAAAGCTCGTGTTGTCGCTCCAAAATCAAAGCAAAAGACAATAATTTTTTAAAAAAATTGTGCCACTTGTAATTTTAGTCGGAGGTGATAATCCACTGGTTTCCAGACTGAGGAAAATGCAACTTTACACTATATAGCTGAAGACAGCCGCAGTATGAATCATTGTGATTATAATAACAGTACTACAAAGAACTCGATGAATAGTCTAATTCTGGGGTCGGCAACCGCCGGCTCCCGATCCACATTCGGCCCGCGAAGGATATTTGTCCGGCCCGCGAAGGATTTTTATCCGACCCGTGAAGAATTTTTGTCCGGCCCGCGAAGGATTTTTGTCCGGCCCGTGAAGGATTTTTGTCCGGCCCGTGAAGGATTGTATTCCGTCCCGCGAAGGATTTTTTGTCCGGCCTGTGAAGGATTTTTATCCGGCCCGTGAAGGATTTCTGTCCGGCCCGCGAAGGATTTTTATCCGGCCCGTGAAGGATTTTTGTCCGGCCCGTGAAGGATTTTCAGCCGGCCCGCGAAGGATTTTTGTCCGGCCCGCGAAGGATTTTTGTCCGGCCCGCGAAGGATTTTTATCCGCCCGTGAAGGTTTGTATTCCGTTCCGCGAAGGATTTTTGTCCGGCCCGTGAAGGATTTCTGTCCGACCCGTGAAGGATTTCTGTCCGGCCCGCGAAGGATTTCTGTCCGGCCCGCGAAGGATTTTTGTTCGGCCCGTCAACTTAACACCTGAACACTAATTATCTAATTAATTCATGGAGCAAGCAACAGAAAGATATCAATTGGAATTAATCGACTTACAATGCGACGAATTTTTGAAATCAAAATTTAATTCTGAATCCACTGCTGACTTCTACAAGAAATATATTTTGCCAAGCAGAAAATATAAAAGCTGATTGAATAATGTGAAAATGATGGTATCATTATTTGGAACTAGATATGCTTGTGAACTTCTTTCAAAAATGAAATATACTAAAAGTTGCTTAAGATCAAGGTTAGATGATGACCACCTAGATAATGTTTTGCTCCTGTCATTGACAAATATTTCACCTGATGTGGAGAAGTGATCAAACAATAAACAGAAACATGTGTCTTATTAAATAATTCGCCATTTTTGTATTTCATTTGTAGTAAGGGATTTACATTTTTTTACCTTGTAATTCATACAGTAAAATAATGCAAACTTGTTTAGATAATATAACATTAACTTTCTTGTTTTTTCTTTAAATCTCCTGACCAAGCCAGCCTTCTGGATGGAGTGGCCTGAGGTCGAGGCAATTTAAATATTTGATATTGATATGTACCGGAAAGGGATATATTTGTTCGAAGTATCAAAGTGGTTTTGGATTACTGTAACCGGGTAGGACAATCTAGCAGGTAACCGTAATGGACTGGTCCTTATCGTAGTGGTAGGCAATAGGCGTAGGCAATAGGCGTCGTCGTACTTCACCATCAGTCTGTATTTATGGCTGACACCAGCCTATGACACACTATTACTGTGAGGGGGAACCCACGTGTATGCCTATTCATTACATCAGATGTCATGGTCCTCGTACAGGACATTGCATAGCTTTCAGGCCTGCTCTCTCCAAAAGTTTGCCGACCCTTGCTCTAAACTGTTCTTTGGATGAAAATATTACTCCCGGAAATGAATAAATTGATGCATTAAGGACAATGCTCTATGTGAGAAATTCATATTTTTAAGAAAGACCAAGGAGAGAGATAATCGGAGCGCTCTGATAAAAACATTTAAAAATAAAAAACAAATTAAACCAACAATGTCTACCCCCCGCATCAAAACAATGTCTATCCTCTCATGAAAACAATTCAAATAACGCAGTCAAACATAGAAAAAAAAAAGGGTATAACAAATAAAATTCGACAAAGTTCAACATTCGTACTCGCAAAAAAATAGGTTGTGTAAAAAATTTTTCTTTTGACACCAATATTATTTCAAAATTCCTCAGCAATTTTTATAGATTTATTTATTTTTTTTGTTTTGTTTTAGAAATTTGATAAAACCCAAATATATTTAACTGGATTTATACATTCTATTTTCTCTCGATAATTAACAACTAAAGTATTAAACACAATTCTTGTAAATTAACAGACGAATAAATAAATAGTGTTTAACATTTTTGTTGTCAGTTCTCGAGAAAAAATTATAAATTCAGAAGCTGGTAACCTTTTTCAGAGAATTTATGTGGCGAAATCAAATGAAAGATATGCCCAGAAAATGATTTTTTTTTACAAAATTGATAGTTACAGTGTAACCTTGGTTCACGAATTTAATTCGTTCCTGAAGCATGTTCGTAACCAGAAATGTTCGTAAACCGAAACTATTTTCCCAATAGGAATCAATATAAAATGGATTAATCCGTTTCTGGGCCCAAGATGATTGTTTATTTAAACTTTTAAAACAATTACTATGCAATAATTATTATTTACTATTTTATAAATAACTATTAAATCAAAGTTTTTAACATTTAATATTAAAAGAATGTTTGGTGCAGAGGAAGAGATGATCTCAACCATTTCAACATTTGTTTTCAAAATTTATAATTAGTTACTTTTCATTATGTGTTTAGATTTTCTTTTAAAAGTTTTAGAAATTTATGAATAAAAAGAAATATTTTTTGCTTCAGAGGAAAAGATGCTCTCAATCTATTTTAGCGAATTTATGTGACGAGAGCGAATGTCCGGATTTTTTTTTTTTTTTTTTTTTCAAAATTTCTAATTATAGTTACTAGCGGTTATGGTAATTTTCTAAGCTAAGCTGTTTGCCTCGGGGTTCTTGATAGGCTCCAGAGGCGGATATGCAATGTAGTTGGTCCTGCTCTGGCGTCTCGTCTACAGTCACTTTCTCACAGACGCGCCGTCGCCTCCCTCTGTCTGTTCTACAAATACTTTCATGGAAATTGCTCCGAGGAGCTGCATTCGCTGGTTCCCAGAAGTCATGAGTTCCAGCGCCCTACGAGGCTGGCATCCCGCTCTCAGCCCTTCACTGTCGAAACTCCTAAATGTAGCCGTCTCTTCTACTCTAATAGCTTCATGTCTCGCACCTCTCGCCTGTGGAACTCCCTTCCCTTCTCCTGTTTCCCTGTGAGCTATAATCTCCAGCTATTCAAGTGTAATGTCAATCGACATCTCCAGTTGCCTTGATCTATCCACTACTCTCATCCTTTCTTCTATCACTCCTATCTGATCTTGCTCTAAACTTTCTGTAACCCCTTGCGTCCTAGTGGCTTCCCACCTTGCTTGGGGTGAAATGCTTAAAAAAAAAAGAAAAAAGATGTGGCACAAGGCTAAAAGTGTGGAGCACAGATGTGAGGATCGAACTCATTACTTTCGTTGTCAATTCTCAAGAAAATAGAGAATGTATGAAACCAGTTTTTATATGTTTATGTCTTATCAAATTTCTAGAAATAACTTTTTAAAAATTGCCGATGAAGTTTTAAAAAATAGCGGTTTAAAAAAACCGTCCTTTTAACACTATTTTTCCCCCTTTTAACTTTACCACATCTTTCATGGAATACAAGCAAGAGTTACTTACCTTGTCATTGACATGTCAAACAGATGCAAAAATTGGCTAAGGGATGTTTGATACATGCAGTTGACCATGTTCATCTCCGTAATCAGGAAGTACAGGATACTCCCCCTTGTGGCGACAGGGCGAAACTCTTCCCTAGCTTCGTTGATCTTAACTTCCGTTTCGCCTGCAGTGATAAGCTTCTGCCTTACTTCTTTGGAAGTATCGTTCGTTGTGTTCAGGACATGAATTAGATCCTCGTCGTCCACCAGAGAACCCTACGGCGTCAAAAAATGATAGTTTACTAGTTTTCCGTACATTGTTAGATTCTGTCTCTCATGTGCTCGTTCCGTCAAACATTACGCAAATTGTCAGAAAGTTTTACTAATACAATGAAACAAAAAGATTTGTAACAATGAAGCGGAGATCCGGAACTCACAACTAAAATAGAGACCAATGAACCGTTTAATTAATCTGTTCCCTTTATGTGTGTAAGACGGTCGAGGCTATTTATGATACATTGACTACTCATTGTGATTTATATAATATATATAATAAGTATTTAATATCGCAGTGACTCGAAATAGAAACAGCTCTTGAAAGAAAAAGATTATTAGCAACAGAATGACAAAGACGGCGTCAACAAAGTCCCTATCAAAACTAAGTTGAAGACGATCACTTAAAAGATACTGGTAGCTGAGTGCCTCGCGAGAAAGGCTTGAACAAATAATACTGCAATCTAAGAAACGTAGTAGGAAGAGAAGATATTAGTTAAAAAGTTGTTTTTACATATATATATATATATATATATATATATATATATATATATATATATATATATATATATATATATATATATATATATATATATATCCTACAAAAAAAAGACAATGGTTAAACATCAAAAAACATAAGGAAAATTAATTCCTTTTAATAATATCTGGAAATATCCACTTTTTGCCTGATGAAAGCCGCGAGACCAGAAACTCGTGCAGCAAAAAATATGGAAAATAAAGTATAATTTATATTTTTAAAAATCCACATTGTAACCAAAAACGCTTGAGGTTTCTCTCTTCTTTTTAAAATATACACATTTCTTTCGTTGGAACAACTATGATCTCTCTTATATATATATATATATATATATATATATATATATATATATATATATATATATATATATAAATGCCAGCCGAATAACCCACGCCTTGCTGCGTGTCACGCATATTTTGTAAGAAAATGATTGATTTTAAATCATAAGATGCATTTCAATTTTTCAATATTACTCAATGATCTTGCCAATATGACCTCCATCTTCTTGCTTTCTCATTCCCTTGTTATAATTTGAATCAAAGGCGAAAAAATTCAGTGGATTAATCTGACCCCTTTGATATGTATTTGATGCATTACTTGATTGAATGAATTGATGAACAGATTTCCACATTGATATGACAGTTCAATTATCGGAACAAATATGAATTGCAAGGCACTAAGAACTGATTGGTCATTTCTTGCTCAAGTTTATATTCATATTATCTCATTTTGATCTTACCGATGTGACCTACATCTTTTGTTTTTCTCCTTATATATTTTGAATAGGAGTTATTCCCTTATTCCAATTTAAATTTAATTTATATGATAAGAAAAAAATTCAGTGGAGGCTTTGTCCCCCACCCCCACCCCGGGGACACCATTTGGTCAAAATGAAATATACTTATCCAAGTACCCTAGGAGTTACTCCCTTGTTCAAATTTAAATTTAATTTAAATTAAAGGGGAGAAAAACCAGTGAGACGTTAATGCCCCCCACCCCGGGGACCCCATTTGATCAAAATGATCTTATGATGCGACCTCCATCTTCTGGCTTTCTCCTTCTATATATTGGATAGAAGTCATTCCCTTGTTCAAATTTAAATTTAATTCATATTAAAGGAAAACAATTCAGTGTGGGCTTTGTGCGCAACCGCCACCCTGAAACCCCCTTTGATTAAAATGAAATATACTTATCCAAGTACCCTGGGTAATGTATTTTTCATTATATGTAAGGTTATGGGGATCTATCTCCAAAACACGAGGAGGAGTTCGATAAAAAACAGTCAGAGGCTACAACTTTTATATATATTTATATATATATATATATATATATATATATATATATATATATATATAGCAAAAATTTTCATTTAAGCATGTCCGATTGAATAAATTACAGACATTATGTCTGCTAATTTTTAACAAAATCAGTTCATACTCACGAATAACCTTCCGTGTATTGATGTTAAAGATGAGAGTAATGTGCGTTAGCTGTTTAAATTTCTTTTATCTTCATTTCCCAAGTACTTTCGGTCTTCTTCGAATATATATATATATATATATATATATATATATATATATATATATGTGTGTGTGTGTGTGTGTATGTATGTATGTATGCTCGCGTGTGTGTATGCTTTTATATTCATTTATGATAATCCAGCTGTATAACTGTTACAGTTGATTGATTAAACAGACCCAATAGTGGTCATTTTACTTAACCCATCCTCCCTACTGAGACGAGATGTGACACATGGTCGGATTTAATGGAAGTAACCCCAAACACGTACACTCGGGCCAAGCACAAAAATTTCCCAGACCCCGCAACTTTCGGTTGCTTTGGCATCGATATGATTATTGAACCTTCGTCTCTATCGCAAGCTGTTCCCCGGGACCGGGAACCTCACAGAATTTTATTTTCCACAGCTCTCTATCTGTCCGAAAACAGAGTCACAATGTAAAAACCTATCCTGAGCCACTGGATCGATATACTCTATAAGACCGGCCGTTGGTCCTGTCCTAGTCCAGTATTACAGGCTCAATCAAAGTCTCCGGTTCAAAATGTCAATTCGTGATTCCACTTTCCAGCCACGTTGTGATTTTTTTGATCCTGGAGAGCAATTAACAAATCGTAGATCCAAGAAGATTCGGGGGGGGGGGGAGCGAGAATCGGACCAAGCAGAAAAATCTATTCAAATCCGAAGAAAAATTAATATTATATTCAAACTGATAAAGATGTTAACTTAACTGTCTTTTACAATATTAAAAGAGTACTCTTGGTCGGGTAAACAAACTGTTTTAGTTTAAAACTTTTTTAATATGTTCTCTATGAATGTGTTAATAAATACAGTATTTAACATATATTAAATCCCTATATTATTTGTAAAAAGTTAAATATTTAAATTGCTAACAAACATTAAATTAATTTCTTCGTGGACTTTTTTAGACATCTAAATTACTATCAAACATTAAAATCTATTTTTGACATAAATTGCTAAAACTTACCACCCCTCTCCTTCATACGTAAAACCCATTTACAGCCTCTTTCTCTTTACTTCCCTCCTCTTTCTTTTTCATTTTTCTTTTCTCTCTTCTCCCCTACCATTTCAATATATCACTTCCGTTAAGTTAACCGTTTAAATAGGTCAAGGTCTTGTCACTCCTCCTCCCCCAATACTAAGTATGATTGAGAGAAATATTAAATTAAACCCTCCCTAAACTCTATCATGTCTCTTTAACTACTCCTTATTACACTCTCTGTTGAATTACAAAAACTTACACTACCCATCAATTTTCATTTCATTTTTCGTTTCATCTTTTGGAAGTGTTATCTGATGTCCGGCGTCCTTTAAAAGGGCTCTGGTGAAATAAATTATTATAATGGAACTGTTTAAAGTGATCTGTTTTTCTTTAAAATGCACACACACACACACACACACATTATATATATATATATATATATATATAAGGAAGAAATTGATACAAAATCAATAATGCTTCTTTCACTAGAAAGTAGTATACATGAAATAAAGTCCAGGAAAAAAAAAAACAAATATTGCAAAGAAATTCTGAAAGGTGAAAAGTAATTTTCGGGTTCACCCTTTTTGTTCCTAGTAGTTGCTGTAATTATTTCACTACCAGGACATTAGGAGGGTTCACTGGCAGTATTGCGCCAATATTGCAGATAACTTGAGTTCACTTCCTCCCTTATTACATCAGCAAGCGAACGCTTTCACTCTCACTGCTTCTCTCTCTCTCTCTCTCTCTCTCTCTCTCTCTCTCTCTCTCTCTGGTCGACTGCTTGTCAACCCACTTTATCCGGTCAACAAAGGCTGAAAAGTCAAGTCAGCCCTAATATTTAATCTAATAGAAAAAAAAAAAAACGAATTATCCTAAGGGTAAATTCGAACTCGGCTCTCAAAATTGTTCGTATCTATTGCACCACACGTCCATCCCAACATTTAATCGTCAGTAAACTGAAACACATATTCAATGTGTTGGAAGTTTATTTTCTGCTAATAATATATAAACAAACCCATATATGAATGGTCTGCGATAAATAACATTTTCACAACTATGGAAGCACCTACAAGTCTTTATGGAACTTAATAAAATAAATAAGGGCTGCTTCTAAACCAGAATTGATATATAGTGGCATACAATTTGGCCTGTTTTGTGTTGGGGGATGAAATTTAGTATAGTCTGTACTGCGGGCTATCCGAGTAAAACGAAAGGGTTACAGCCATGATAAATCGACGTCAGCGTCTTTATATTCATTTACTTGCAATAAATGGCAATTTCTTGTTTTACCAAAAACGGGCTAACACAACCAGGCGATCACTACACCAGTGAAAGTATTAAGTGATAGATAGATAGATAGATAGATAGATAGATAGATAGATAGATAGATAACGAGAAATATAGATAGAAAGATAGATATAGACAGACTGAGATAGATAGATAGATAGATAGATAGATAGATAGATAGATAGATAGATAACGAGAAATATCTTACCTGGGTACTAGTGAGGCGAAACAATAAGTTATCTTCCAAGTCCTTTATCTTTTTCTTGTTGTCTGAGACATCTTCCATTAATTTCACCCTCTCACTCTCCAATTCCTGAATTTACGTAAAGCAGAATTTTAAAAAAAAATTTAAAAAAAAGAAAGAAAGGAAAGAAAAGAAAAGAAAGGAAAAGAAAATTTTAACGTTTTTGTTTTCGTGATGCTTCAGGTTTACTTTTGAAATTTATGTTCAATTTCACAAA